GAAAGGAATAATACCTTAGTGCAAAATTTAATTGTTGATGGTGTTAGAGATTGTTACTTTTGTAAAAACAAGTGACAGTTTTGTTTTGTGACCAATATTTAAATGTATCCTGGTACTCTGGAGCTTAATGATGATTGTCTTTTTGATTGCTTAAAGCAATGTGAAAAACACATTTCACCGGCTCTGAAAGCTCTTGAGTTGCTATTTAAAAGAAAATTTTAGAGTATCATAGTTACTTTAATAAGAGTCAGGATGTAAAAGGAAGGGGAAATGCTGGCATAACTTTCATCTCCTTTCTTAACAGGGAATGGGCACTGTTCAAAAAGGAATGCCCCACAAATGTTACCATGGCAAAACTGGAAGAGTCTACAATGTTACTCAGCATGCTGTTGGCATTGTTGTAAACAAACAAGTTAAGTAAGTAACGTCGGGGTTCTTTTTAGTCAGGGTTCTTTCTAGCCGATCAGTATTCCTTCATACCCCATACCCCCTTTTCACTTTGCCAATTGGACTTATGTCTTTATTGGTCATTCAAGTGGGGCAAAGGAAATATCCTTTTAAAACTCAAGCAAACTGGGTGTTTGCCTTGTATCCTGTCAGAGGAAACAAATTGAACTAGACTTAATGGAAAGTTTTATTAGGATTTGGTGTTAAGCAGTTCTAGTTTTCAGAGTATAAAAAAGAATAGTAAGTAGTAAATTGAGTTAGTGATTTGGTTTTGGTTATATAGTATTTCAAGGTCTGTCACCTCATCAAAAGAAAGCTTAGAAGTGGAGATGTTTGGGGGCATATGGGTAGTGCAGTTGGTGAAGCATCTCTTGATTTTGGCTTGGGTTGTGGGCTCTCGAGCCCCACGTCAGGCTCCATGCTCAGCATGGAGTCTGCTTAAGACTCCCTCTCCTTCTACCCCCCCAAAATAAATAAATCTTTTATTTATTTTTAGAGAGAGAACATGAGCAGTGGGGAGGGGCAAAGGGAGAGGAGAGAGAGAGAGAATCTCCAACAGACACCCTGCTGAGTGCAGATCCCAACACAGGGCTCAATCCCATGGCCCTAGGATTGTGACCTGAGCCAAAACCGAAGAGTGGAAGGCTCAACTGACTGAGCCACCTAAGCACCCCAGTGAATAAATCTTAAAAAAAAAAAAAGTGGAGATGTTTGCTTCAAGGCCTCTTACAGTACAATTAATGATTGTAAATTAGCCATGGCCTTGCTGAGTAATGTTATCTGTTGGTAAAAGGTTTGTGGTTTGTTTAATAAATGAAACTGCCAAATAAAATTGGACTTTGTTAACATTTTTGCTGAAGCATTTATAGTAATGTTGATTCTCCCCAGGGGCAAGATTCTTGCCAAGAGAATTAATGTACGCATTGAGCATATTAAACATTCAAAGAGCCGAGACAGCTTCCTGAAGCGTGTGAAGGAAAATGACCAGAAAAAGAAGGAAGCCAAAGAGAAAGGTACTTGGGTTCAACTGAAGCGCCAGGTGAGTGCTTGACAGATGATTTCTTGGTATTGATCTTGGGAATTTTAAAACTTGCTCAGTGGTAATTTTCTTTTATATGAAAGTTAATGAATTTGAGTATGTTATTTCTTTGTTCTTGAGAACACTTTGAAATTGATTACTGTTCTTGCTTTTTTTTTTTAATAGCCTGCCCCACCCAGAGAAGCACACTTTGTGAGAACTAATGGAAAGGAGCCCGAACTGCTGGAACCCATTCCCTATGAATTCATGGCATGATAAATGTAAAGAAAATAAAAGACCTCAAGACTGTAGAAACATTTCTCTCAATTGAGTAGAAGTGTGGTGTCCTTTCCCCCAAAAAAATATTTAAAGCAAACTTTGTGTCCTAATTCATTGGGTGATGTCTTTATTCAAACTTAGTGGCTTTTTTCTTGCTGGAAGATCTGAGGTAGTTTATTGTAGAACAGTATACTCAGTTGGTTAGGAAACTGCCAGATACTATAAAAATATTTATAGTTGGAAAATAGTCCCTCCAAATCCCTAAGAAAAAAGAATTTTAAAAGAATATGTGAAAGGTTACCTGTCACATTGCATTTAAGCTCAGTGAAAGTTGAGTTCTTGTAATTGTATCCTGTCTTAAATAGCTGTGTTTTAAGGATAAAGAACTTGCCTTTGAGGCTACTATTTAAAAACAGATGGTTTAAAGCACTCTGTCTGGTTCCTACCAAAAAATTGTTTTCCCTGTCATTTCCTTTTACGGTTTGTTTGGTTTTTTTTTTGAATATTTTATTTAGGGCGCCTGGGTGGCTCAGTTGGTTGAGCGACTGCCTTCGGCTCGGGTCATGATCCTGGAGTCCCGGGATCGAGTCCCGCATCGGGCTCCCTGCTCAGCAGGGAGTCTGCTTCTCCCTCTGACCCTCCCCCCCTCATGTGCTCTCTCTCAAATAAATAAAATCTTTAAAAAAAAAAATAAAAAATAAATATTTTATTTATTTATTTATTTGACAGAGAGAGAGAGAGTGAGAGCACAAGCCAGGAGACAGGGAGAAGCAGGTTCCTCGCTGAGTGGGGAGCCTGACGTGGGACTCGATCCCAGGATCCTGGGATCATGACCTGAGCCAAAGGCAGCCGCTTAACCAACTGAGCCACTCAGGTGCCCCACCTTTTACGGTTTTCTTGTATGGTGCTCTAGCTCTTAGGAAAAATGTATTTCTTGGAATTGCTCTTTCTTGCCCCAGTTCCTTTGTACTTCTCTTTGCCTGAAATACCTACACTTTAAGTTGGTGAATTCCTGATTGTCCTTTTTTCACCTTGAGTGTCATAGGTGAACCTTCCCTGATAAAAGTATTTCAAGGAGAGAAATGAAAGTGCTTGGAATCAGAGAAGAGAAATTATTTCTGGTTTGGGATGATAAAGTCCCTTACACCTGTTCTCACTACAGGTGATTTGCTTTCTTACAGTGTTTATAATTTTTAAAAATTTAATCTTCCTGGGGCACCTGGGTGGCTCAGTCGTTGGGTGTCTGCCTTCGGCTCAGGTCATGATCTTGGGGTCCTGGGATCGAGCCCCGCATCAGGCTCCCTGCTCTGCAGGAAGCCTGCTTCTCCCTCTCCCACTCCCCCTGCTTGTGTTCCCTCTCGCTGTGTCTGTCTCTGTCAAATAAATAAAATCTTTTAAAAAAAAATTAGGGCGCCTGGGTGGCTCAGTTGGTTAAGCGACTGCCTTCGGCTCAGGTCATGATCCTGGAGTCCTGCATCGGCCTCCCTGCTCAGCAGGGGGTCTGCTTCTCCCTCTGACCGACCCCCCTCTCATGTGCTCGCTCGCTCTCATTCTCTCTCTCAAATAAGTAAAATCTTTAAAAAAAAAAAAAAAATCTCCAGTAGACCTGAGGTGAAAGACTGTTAGTAAACTCTGCCATCCTAGATCCTAGCACATAGTAAACATTTCATAAATGTTCTTTGAATTGAGGAAAGCACTCCCCCCCCCAACTTTTTTTTTTTTTTTTTTTTTAAAGACTATTCATAGAGCACAAGCTGGGAGGAGAGGGAGAAGCAGGCTACCTGCAGAGCCCAATGCTGGGATTATGACCTGAACTAACAACAGCCACTTAACCAACTGAGCCACCCAGGCACCCTGAGCAGACATTTTCTAGTTTCTGTGTGTTTAATCTTGTTTTCCTGTGGACTTCACCAAACTAGAATGTTTTGGATTTTAGAGGGCTCATAACAATTTTGTTCATGAGTAATTGGGATTATTAAGTTTCCCGTATAATGTGGAAAGATTGGGGAACCTCAGACTTTGTTCATTTTCTGGCAGTTTATATTAACCTTACTTTCTGTTGCCCCTAGATTAGACCAAATGATTCCCAAAGGGCCTTTATGCACATAGGGCCTATGACTCTATATTCCCATGACCACCAGATGACATAATTGTGACAAAAGACATGGCAGAGGATCAGCTCTCAGTTTAGGGGGGCTGGTGAAGGTGAATATTGAGAAAAGGAAGGGCTGCAAATAGAACTGGTTTAGGGGAGTTTTTAGGGCAGATCATCAGAAAATGTGAACTGTAACATCTGATGTACAGTGGCAGTTTTCTAATCGCTATAATGGCAATAGTGGTAACATGAATGTACATAAAACATTTTTGGTTTTGGGGGTTCCTGGGGGGCTCAATCCAACTTGGTTTTGGCTTAGGCCTCAGCGGTGAGGTCAGGCTCCACTGTGGGCTCCAGTGGTTCTCAAGTATGGTTCCCCACCTGACAACATTTTTGGGGAACTTGCTAAAAATGTGGGCCCACTAAATCAAATTCTGGGTGTGAGCCCAGCACTCTACAACCTCTCTGGGTGACTGAGATGCTTGCTCAAGTTTGAGAACCACTGATCTGTCTTTAGTCATCTCTAATATACTTGAGACTCAAAGTTCAGAACTCGTTTTCTGAACCTTTATTTCCAACTCCCTCTTGGGCAGTTCCATCTGGATGTCCTGCAAATTCACAGATTAGTTTGAAGAGGTTTTATTGGAGAAATAAATTGCATCGAACTCCCCTAGCTTTGAGTAATGTGTATGTGCTGATAAATATGTGCCCGCCTTAAAATGCAGGTCCTTTTAAATGAGTTAATTGTTGTAGATGGTGAAATTATAAATGAATCTCTTAAAATTTCCCCTTCCTACACTTTGTGAGGATGAAGAAAAATGTTCTAACTTTAAAACTTTTTGCCCTATTAAATTAGAGCCATTACCATAAATGAAGGTGCATGGCTCCTTTAACTTTTGATTCTGTCTTTTCTGATCTAGCCAGGTACCTTCTGAGGACTTCTGTTTTGTTCAATTGAGCCTAATCCCAAGAGTTGAATAAAATAAATCACACTCTCAATGTTGGGGCAGGAAAAACCCCATAGTTTCATATCTCTAGTGTATTCTCACTGTGTATTTCATATCTCTAGTGTCAACATTTTCTCTGTACTATGGTGGGAAAATGGAAAACAATTTTTGCTAAAATGGAGCGTTAACAGTTGCTAAGATATAAAAGTAGGTTTACTTCTTGAGCACAAGAGAAAACAGATTTGGAATACAAGTGTTTATCCCATCCCCACTTAAAAACAATTGGTATTGTTCATACAAGAGCTTTCCCAGAATCTGTTAGACAAGTTACTTGGTTATAATAGTGGTGAGGCAGCCTCTGCAGCTCGTATTGCTGAGGCGGAAAGTTTGTATAGAGGAGTGAATAGCGGCCCAGGGTTTCTGTATTGTGATTGTTTTCCAACTGCAAACGTGTATGGTGAGGATTAATTGACAGGCTAGCTCATAAAGCCCCAAATGGAAAAAGCATAGAGAAAATGCTCTGATACTTCCTTGCAAGATTGGAATTTATGAAAATCATTTGATTTGGAAAAGAAATGCAGTAAGGTACTCTATTCTCCAAAATGAGGTGATGGCTTAGCTCAAGTGAGGATGTGATAACTTCTTGCACCTGAGCAAGAAGGTTCAGAATAATTGCTTATGGGAGATGAGTAAGTAAATAGTTCTAAGATTCTTGAGAGCAGAGATGATATTTTGTTCTTCATATATATATGCTCCTAGCACTGACCCTGTTACATATAGTCAGGGTTACCCTCCTTAAGAAGAGTTCAGTGGCTTTCCATAGCCTCCAGATAAATTCCTGAGCATGGCATGCATTGCCATCCACAGTCTGGTCCCCAACTTTTTGGGCTATCGACCACATCCTTCTAATGTTTGAGACTACTCGTAGCTCCCCAGACTTGCATTATACTTATACTTTCATGATTTTGCTCATGCCATTCCTTCAACTTGACATGCCATCTCCCACCCTCTGTGTTTCTGCCTACCAAATATTACTCATGCTCAGAGACCGGGCAATTTCTTCCTGTAGCTTTCACTGATTACCACCGCCCCCTCCCCCATTCAGATTTAATTCTCCCCATTGCATCTCTATTGGAGTTGGCACCCTGACCTGCTTTGTCATTCCTTTTACATGAACAAGTGTTTTCATCCTGCTCTCTACCTTGATGGAAAATGCCAAGATTAGAAATCAGAGGGGCTGGGGGTGTCTCCTACTGAATGGCTCAATGACCGGGTAAGTTATAAACTTGTCTGAACCTCAATTTAGGAGATATTTAACCCATTTTACAGGTTTAGTTAAGATTAAAGAAGAAATAGAATTTTTTGGTAAACTCAAATTTATGAAGGATAATTTCACTATGGGGATGTCTGTGAAGGCAGGCAGGAGTGTCTTATACTTTGTCATCCCCTCAGTAGATGATTGGTAATAGAAAGTTAACTGTTCTTTGTATTCTGTACCAGCACTTAATGGAGTCTTGCAGCGAGTAGATTTTCAATAATTTTGACTGTTGAAATAAAGCAGGGAGCTGGTAGCAAAGCACAGTTTTTATTCCAGTGAAATTACCTAAAGGTAGTCTGCGAGTCTCCAGTGAGCTCATTGTTCCAAGAATTTAGGATACACAGGAAGAGCTGATATTAGGAGGTGATGGATGGTGGAGGGAGAGAGATTCTTGAACTAGAGGACGACCCTTGGCAGCTTTATCTCGGCTAGAAATCAAGCTGATATGGCTGGTAAAGGGTTAATAAATTCCCAAGGCTGATATTTGCGAATTACCAAATTCTGCCCTTCATAGTTATTTCAAACACCCACAGGATCTGTGTACCCATATCTGTGCCTACGCATTTCCATTGTCATTTTAAAACCACTTCAGTATGCCTGTGTTATATTGGTTGCAGTACAATTTTACATAACTCTGGACGCAAAGAAATCCAAAATGAGATAGAACACAAGCAGCAACAATTTAGGCAATGCTATTTATAATGTTCAGTAACAGTTCGTCAGTAACAGTTCGGTAACATATTGTCTGTATTAAAAGGTCATGGATTATCTTGTCTATTTGCAGATGCAAAGAGTTTCCAAGGAGAATGGAATAACATTTTGAGCTCTCTGAGCTAAGGTGCAATGTGAATGCAAAATGGAAGATAATTATCAGTGGACAGAGAACAGTCTTAGGAATCTTACTTATTGGGTGACCTTAAACTAAAATGATCTTATTCCTGACAGGGAATTAAGATGGGGAATGAGGTGTAGAGGTGAGTCCAAGATACAGCCAAGAAAGTGCTCTTTTCCCTTCACAGTTCTGCATTTCAATCCCAGGAAAGTGAAAGGTGCAGAGTCCATTGATTCCTGCTCAACAGAGACCCCCTCTTTTATTTCTTGACTTAATGGGGGAGCAAGGTGTCCACTAGCTCCTGGGGAGGAGCTAGGGTTGTTCTAAGGTAGTGGCAATCCCAGTCTTCTTTGCTAGATACTTGGATAAACTCTCAGCTTCTCAGTTCTGGAGATGAGAGGTAAGAGAAAGTCTGCTGGGTTCTGAGAATTATTTTATTTCATAATAAAAAGACAATAGAATCCCACGCTTCCTTCCTGCTTTGGTGAGGACTTGGTGTTTGGTGAAACGGGCCATTTTGTGTTCAAAGAGAGCCAAAGAGCATCTGGGACACAATGACTTGGACCCCTATCACTGAACAGCTGAAGGATCCTTGGAACCAATGGTTTCAGAGTGGTTCTGTAAATAGTAACTCTTTATGGTGCTTTCTCCTGTCAAGGAATGAGGTGGCCTGCTTTAAATCTTTCCAGTTAAACTGAAGTTTAACAGAAGGGGATTGCCTTGTAAGCTGCCAAAAGTCAGTGCAACTGAGATACAGCAGTTATCTCAGGACATTTCCTGGAACACTTTCTCTCGAGAGTAGGTTGCTCTCAAAACCAAGCTATTGGGATAATGGTTACACATATGACTTCTGTCTTTTCCATTTCACACAGTGAAGACAGCATTCATTCATTTATTCATTCAGAAAGTCAGCCAGTGAGCAAAGGACCTTCAAAGTCCCAGGTACCACTATGTGCTGATGCTAAAGACACAAGCTAGAGTCTCTGCCCGCCTGGAGACAGTCATGAAACAAATTTTACAGAGAGTAACAGTTGAGATCAGTGCTGCCAAGGGTGTCCTAAGAGGGAGGAACTGGGAGATAGGAGTGGGGGTGGCAGTGCTGATCAAAGAAAGCTTCCAAGGGAAGAGCAAGTAAACAAGTCATCATCTATTCCTAGTCTACAGCAGGAGTCCTGAAGAATTCAACTGAGAGGTAAGGAGAGCAGTGGGGATGGAGAGGGGGAGACACCCAGGGGTGTAGGCAGTAGAAATGGTGGAACTTGGAAGTGAGAGTGGTTGGAGTCAAGGATGGCTCACACGTTGCTGGTTTGGAATTCTGGGTAGATGGAGGGAACATGCATTAGTGTAGTTGGTTGCTAAAAATGGATTTCATCCTCTATCCCTCTCTGCATCTCACTCAGCCCTTTCTTTTTTATTTCTTTGAAATATCTTTTTCAGAGAGAAAGAGAGTGCATGAGCCGGGGGAGGGGGAAGACAGAGGGGGAGTAGAAGCAGACTCCCCACTGTGGGGCTCAATCTCCCAACCTAGAGATCTTGACCTGAGCAGAAACCAAGGGCCAGATGCTTAACCCGACTGAGCCACCCTTTCAAATGTGACTTCGGCTCCCTCCACTTAGGCATGGAGTGTATCCTTTCCCCTCTCCTTGAATCTGGGCTGGAATTGTGACTTGCTTTGGCCAACAGAATGCAGCAGAGGTTATGGGTTCCACCCTGGAGTAGGGCTCAAGAGGCCTTTTCCACTTCCACTTACTCTCTCTGAAACCTGCTCAACCACCACCATGAAAGCAAGCCCTAGCCATCCTGGGGGGGGGGGGGGGGGGCGGGGACGGACTCAGGTGAGTCCGTCACTGCCCCTCCCCCATCACAGTTGACTGCCTGTCACCCTCTGCCAGCTCTCTGCTGATACATGACAGGGCCCAGCCTAGATCAGCTGAGTCTGGCCTAGATTAGGATAACCACTCCACTGACCTACAGACATGAGCAACTATGGGAGATTGTTGTTTTAAGCCATTAAGTTTCGTGCAGTTTGTCGTGCAGCAAAAGCTAACTAATACGACTGAGACAGAGAAGGGGTAAGGAAGGGGCCCTCCAATAGGCAATTGGACATATGAGGCTGGTACACAGGAGGCCAGAAGCATGAAGTTCTAACCTGTAAGGATCAAATCCCAAGGCCTTACTATGGTCCGTCTCCCCAAACTCAAGACCAGGACATTTTTCTCTTTTGTGTCCCCTTCCACTCTCTCATCCTTAACGTACACTTCATTTTACGCTTAAAAGTAAGTACTTGAATAATAAAAGCAAATGCATGACTCAAGTGCATAAGACAGTATTAATGATGGAGAATTAGTCCGGAGCCAAAGCTCCCAGGGGATGGAACGTGTATTGACTGTTCACTAAGGAGTGGATTCAGCCAAGGCCAGCAGCGAGGGTCTGGGCTTGGAGGCTGAGCTGCAAACAATTACTGCCCCCAAGGGGCCTTCACATTTGTGGAGCAAGGTCACAGTGACTGCAGGTCCCTTATAACGGCTACTAATTCAGGGATTCCGGGCTTTACCCTCCTCCTTTGTCCTTAGTAATGTCACCCCTCAGCACCTTTTGAAAATAAAAAGGGCAATATACCCAACAGGAATTTACCCCTCCCATTGTTGCAGAAACATCCGACTGATTGCACTTTTTCCTGTTTCTTTCCTCCCCCAGCTCAGAACTGATCGCAGGTTCGCCCACTGGTCTAGTGACCCGGGCTCGCCTCTGCGGGGTGGAGGGGCCCCCAGGGCGGCGCAGGCACAGCCCCACGAGAGGCCTCCCACCGCTCGCGGGACCGTGGCCGTCCTGCAGGGGCCGGGGGCGGCAGCGGCGCGGGGCCCGGGCGGAGCGCGTCAGGCGGCGAGGCGGTGCGCACGCCCCCGGCGCCCGGTCCCTCCCCCCGGGCTCTCCAGCGCCCCGGTCCCTCCCGGCCGCCGCGGGAAGGGGCGGGAGGGGGAGGAGCCGGAGGCGGCCGCCGCGCCCCCGCCGCGCGCGCCCAGCCCTTTAAAACCGCCGGCGCTGACAGCTCGGCCGGCCGCCGCGGTCCCCGCGCACCTGTGTCCGCACGCTCTCTGTGCTCGCGAGCCGCTCCGCTGCGCCCGAGGCCAGGCGTGCGCTCTCGGAGGCGGGACCCGCTCGGCCCGCGCGCTCTCCATGCGGCCGCCCACCATGTCTGGGCACTGTCTGCTCGCGCCCATCCCCGAGTCCTCCTCCGACTACCTCCTGCCCAAGGACATCAAGCTGGCCGTGCTGGGCGCCGGCCGCGTGGGCAAGAGCGGTGAGTGCCCAGGGGCCCGCTCGGGGACGACGGGGCCTCGGGGAAGAGCCGGAGCTCTGGGCGGAGGGGAGGAGGATAGAGCGCCAGAAGAACCTGCAAGTTTCCGCGCCAGCCCCGGCTCTCCCCCGCCAGCTCGCTTTCCCAGCGGCTTCCTCGGGGCGGCTACTCCTGGGCTCCCGCCTGGCTTGGCCCCTGCTGGAGGGGGGGGGGGGGGCCGCTGGTGCGGCAGGTAGACACCTGCAGTCAAACCCGCGAGAGCCCGCGACGGCCGCACCCTTGGCTTTGCAGAGCCTTCCAACCTGGGCCGTACCCGGGGTTCTGCGGCCCAGCGCCCTCTCCTTTTCCACGGGAGCGTCCCGGTTTGACTGTTTTGTCCTAGTCCTTTCACTGATTTTGCTGTTTTTCCTTTTCAGCAATGATTGTGCGCTTCCTGACCAAGAGATTTATTGGCGATTATGAACCGAATACAGGTTAGAATAATTTCGTGCTCTCTGCTTTTGTGGCTGCATGCTCCGATTTTCTTTTTTGCTGATATGTGTGTAGGAATTTAAAAGCAAAGTCTCCTTCATCCTTCAGGCAAGTTGTATTCACGGCTCGTCTACGTAGAGGGAGACCAGCTCTCCTTGCAGATCCAGGACACCCCGGGGGGCATCCAGGTAAGGACGGCCCGAAGCGAACGGCTCACCACCGCGCACACACCCAGGGGGCTCCTCAGCGGGAGCAAGATGTGTGAACACACCTGTTCTGCATTTAGATGAAGGCGTGGGCTGTCCCCAGGCGGGCTGTTAGAAACGCTCCTGGTGGGGACGGGGTGAGTGGATGGTTCGAGAGGCAGCTTCCTCCAGTCCAGCTCCTCCAAAGGGGAGAGAGAGTTAACCTCTGTTTGCAGCCCTGGGAGAGGCATCACTACTTGCAGGGATGGGGCTCACCACTTCTTTCAGAGCTCGGCCATGGAACCATTAACAGGGGTGGGTTTCTGGAGAGGGTCTTCTCCCCTAGCAAGGACAGCGAGAGTGCTTCTGGGTTTCTAACTGTTCCCTCAAGTCGGTTAATTGCAACCAGATAACCCCTTGGCAAGCAGTCGGGAATTTAACTTGATTAACAAGTTATTAATTGCTCTCCCTTGGAGGGAGGAAAGGTCTTGTGGAAGACCAGAAAGAAGGACTTTGTTTCTGTAACATTCTCAAAAAGGATATGCTAAAAATATTTTTATGGGCTTGGGAAAAGATATTTATCTTGGCTTATTTTCAAAGTTTTGTTTATTCTCAGTTCCCTGAAGGTTGCGCCATTCTTCTTTGAAAGTTCTTATTGAAGTCATTCTTCAGTCAGCCAGGGCTCACCACAGAATACCTGCCAAGCAGGGGGTTTCAGGATAATTGCATTGGTGACAGCCAATAAAATAACCCAGGCAGGGAGCTTGCTCTTCCCGCGTCCAAAGCCTCCTTCTGCAGAAGCTAGGTAGCATCTGAAAACTGTATTTATGATTTCTCTTTTGAATGCTTTTTGCAAGGGTTACTCTGATGTTATTTTGAGTCCTCTCCCACTGAGGGTTTCCTTGATCCAGACTCGTTCTGATCTTTCTCAGGTCCAAGACAGCCTGACCCAGGTAGGTGATTCCCTGGCCAAGTGCGTGCAGTGGGCAGAGGGCTTTCTGCTGGTCTACTCCATCACAGACTATGACAGCTACCAGTCCATCCGCCCCCTTTACCAGCACATCCGGAAGGTCCACCCTGACTCCAAGGCCCCTGTCATCATCGTGGGCAACAAGGGGGACCTTCTGCATGCCCGGCAGGTGCAAACGCATGATGGTATTCAGCTGGCCAACGAGCTGGGCAGCCTATTCCTTGAAATTTCCACCAGTGAAAACTACGAGGACGTCTGTGACGTGTTTCAGCACCTCTGTAAAGAAGTGGGCAAGCTGCACAGCCTCGGTGGGGAGAGGAGGAGAGCCTCCATCATTCCCCGGCCGCGCTCGCCCAACATGCAAGACCTCAAGAGGCGCTTCAAGCAGGCTCTGTCTTCCAAAGTCAAAGCCCCCTCTGCACTGGGGTAAACCCATCTCACACAGACTCGGCTCCTTTTTATTGTGCGTTGTGCAGCTGAAAAAGACAGGGGACCTCCCTTTTTAATTACACATTCGAAGTTTATTTTTATACAAACTGTTGGTTTTCAAGTGTATGTGTATTTCTGAAAATTCAGTGATTGCCTAGAAGTTGGAGAGGTTTTTTTTTTTTAAATAAAATATATATATATATTTTTTACTGTAACTGCTAGCCACTTTTCCATTAAAGGCAAAATGGCAACATTGCTTCTTGTTTTTTAAATGTCTTTTTATAGAAATCATACTTGCACCAGCGCCCAGAACGGCTCCATGCTTGCCCTCAGCCTGAACTCCTATTGGTGTCTTGCGGTAGGGGAGCCGACGTAGAGGGAATCTGTTGTGGGAGAAAGCAAAGAATGCGGAGGAGAAAATATTTGAGCAACTGCAGGATGTCTTTAATTAGGGCACTTTGCCACAGGCATGAAATTGATACCACGTGATTTTCAAGGAAAGGGGTTCAGAGTACGCTGGTGCTAACAAATCGCAAACATGAATAGCAGTTTTATTTATTGGTGCAAATGGAAATCTACTCTCTCTACCTGTATTAGAAAATAAAAATTCCTTATGTCAGTAAGTGCATCCTACCTACAGTTGCTTAAAAATTCTCCTTCCTGGGGCGCCTGGGTGGTTCAGTCAGTTAAGCATCAGACTCTTCATATCGGCTCAGGTCATGATTTCAGAGTCATGGGATTGAGCCCTGCATTGGGCCTTGTGTTGGGCTCAGTGCTGGGCATGGAGCCTGCTTAAGATTCTCCATCTCCCGGGGCGCCTGGGTGGCTCAGTTGGTTAAGCGACTGCCTTCGGCTCAGGTCATGATCCTGGAGTCCCGGGATCGAGTCCCGCATCGGGCTCCCTGCTCGGCGGGGAGCCTGCTTCTCCCTCTGACCCTCCCCCCTCTCATGTGCTCTCTCTCATTCTCTCTCTCTCAAATAAATAAATAAAATCTTTAAAAAAAAAAAAAAAAGATTCTCCATCTCCCTCTTCTCCTCCCCCTCCCTCTTTCTAAAAAAAAAAAATCTCCTTCCTGCTCTGTCTTCTTGACCCTCACATCCAACAGGGCACTTGATCTGTCAGCTCTCTCTCCTATTTTTCTCTGAAGCATCACTCTGCCATAATCCATACAGCTCTGGCCTAGACAGGCAGGCAAGTGTAGGTGAGATTGGTTTCTTGTCTTCTGGACTGACACCCCTCTGATTCTTTCTTTACACCGGAACAACCTGGCGTGCAGTGGGCCAAGGGCTTTCTGCTGGTCTACTCCATTACAGACTATGACAGCTACCAGTCCATCCGCCCCCTTTACCAGCACATCCGGAATTCCAACTCTAATCACTTATTTTCATGATTGAAAAATCTCAGCTGTGTTCCCCTTAGCTACTGGATAAAATACAAATGAGGCATGACATCAAGGTTATTTCCCACCTCTCCAGCCTTCTCATCCCCTCCCACAAACACACTCACACACATTTACACGCCCCCTCACACAGTGGGGCTGAAAGCCCATTCAACGGAACGGTCTGCTGCTCTCAATATATACCAGGCTCTTTCATGCCTTCCTGCCTTAGCAGGAGCTATTTCCTGTGCCTGGAATATTTTTCCTCTTCTCCTCTAAAAGATCACTAACTCATTTTTCTTTCTTTCTTTTTTTTTTTTTAAGATTTTATTTATTTATTTGACACAGAGAGACACAGCGAGAGAGGGAACACAAGCAGGGGGAGCGGGAGCGGGAGAAGCAGGCCTCCCACCAAGTAGGGAGCCTGATGCTTGGCTCGATCCCAGGACCCCAGGATCATGACCTGAGCCAAAGGCAGATGCTTAGCGACTGAGCCACCCAGGCGCCCCGATCACTAACTCATTTTTCCAGACCCAAGTCATGTGCTCTATTAAGCTCCTGGGCTGCCCTCTTCGAGTCTTTCTCCATGTCTACAGCATTTGTGGGATACCCGACCATGTCATGTAGCTAGTTGTCACCCCCATTGGAAGGAGCACTGCTTGTGGGCTGTAACTGCACTTCCTAACTTTGTATCCCAGGCTTTGGGCCTAGTGCTTGCACCTAGTGTGGTAGGTTTTCAGTAAATATTTGATGAATAATATGATGGGCTGAATGCATTATTTTTTGGTGCCAAGGGACAGTAATGGGAGATTGCATGAGACAACTTGTCACGTCTGCAGAACAAGGACAGGAGATGTTCTGAGTAGTTAAAGTACTTTATCAGCAGTGACAAAGAGGAAATGACACATACCCAGCTTCTGGCCGCTGCGGACCATTACCCTGCCTTCCAAGGACACCTGTGTCCATGTCTATGCTGATAACACCATTCTTCCCTATAGTTGAGGGGTGTCTACCTATGCAAAATGGCATGAAGGATTGCAAAAATGAGATAATTCATGTCTAAAGCAGTGTCCAAATAATTAAGGAAGAATACGATTTTGAATTCCATTATCTTTGAAAAAGCACCTAATTCTTCTTGCTCATTTGCATACCCTCAGAACAAAAGCAGTTCTTTCTATCCTCAGCCATTCCTGCTTCTGCCATACATCTTAACTTTGTAGGCGAGGACATGAAAGCAACAGGTTGACCTAATCATCATGGGAAAAGTCATCATGGAAAAGCTAAAAAGAACAATACAAGAGATGTCCCAAGGCAGCCTGTGATGAAGTTCCAAGTGAGTGACCAGTAAGGACAGGAAGTACCCTTGACCTCTCCAGGGGAGAGCACAGTGTGGACCAGAGGGGTCAAAAGATGAGTCACAGGCAGTTCCAAAGGAGTAGCAGCCCCTTGGGGTGCAGGCTGGCTGGAGGGCCATGCAGAAAGCACTCCACATGGTATTTTTCCTGTCCTCAGCATCACAAATCACTGACCTCTGGGGCCTCCAAGCTTCCTTTATTTCTGGTCCCCAGACCCGACCCGGCATATGACCTGGATCTCTGGTCTCAGAAGGCTCAGTGCCTGCTCCCCAGGCCTCCTGCTGATGCGGGTGAGGTGCGTGGGGTGCATCTGAAAGGAACCCTGGGATAGTAGCCCTGGAGATGGAGGGGGAGCCTGGAGTTATCAGGAGGCAGGTAGGGTGGGAAGTTGTCAGCTGTGTGTATAGGAAAGAGGGTCCGAGGATTTGGGCTTGACTGGGTGCTGAGGAGGCCCTTAGCGGAAGCCGAGCTCTGAGCCAGCTTCCTCTTCCCACAGGAGTGGGGAGGGCAGAGCCATCAGAGCCCTGGGTGTCACTGTAGTGCTGGCGGGTCACAGCTTCTGGAACATTGGGCAGAAAGTTGGAAAGGTGGGCAGGTGGGTGGGAGTACCCTCACACCTTTATCACAGTTTTGCCTTACCTCTGAGGTGTCATCCTCAGTGTCATCCTCTCCATCCTCATGGCCCCTCCTCACTCCGTGCCCCCTCCCCTGCCCCCGCCTCTATTTCTGTGCCCACCCCCCCACCCCACCCCCCGTCTCTACGGCTGCCACTCATCCTCCTTCTGGTCGAGGCTCCATTCTATTCTGCTCTGAAACTGCGGCATGATTTCATTAACGTGCCCATTGGTGTGGTCCCGGGGAAATGGATGAAATCCAAACGGCTAAATTGTACATCCTGCGTACATTCTGTGCCTCACATGCCCCTCACGAAAAGCAAACTCGAAAAATGGGAAAATAAATCTATTATAGCATAAGAAAATAAATTTGTTTTGCTTGTGTCAAGGCGAAGGTCACAACGGAAGTTCTAAAGTTTATTAATATCTCTTTGGAGGAATGGATTAAAATACATAGCTGTGGAAGGCGGCAGTGAACAATAGAGCAAATGGAAAAGACAAGATGACTGTTTAGTCATGAACTTAGGACTCGAATAGCTTTTTTGTTCCGTGTACGTGTTATAATTTCTACTTCTCACTATGCAAAGTTACCGATCCAAATTTACAATGCGATGATAATTTGTATGATTAATAACTTATTCTTACCATTTGATCTGTCTCCAAAAGGTGGGGTATTTTTAAGGACTTTGTTAAAATGAGTATTGAGCTACTTTGACACTCAATAAGAAGGTCGTGATATATAAACAAACTCAAACACCATGAAGTTAGCTGGGGCTCTAGGAAAAATGACCACCCAGGCGTCCCACCCCCATGTACTTCTGCATCAGGAGAGAATGAGCTCCTCAAGGGTTGGACAGGTCCTCAAACATCTTCGGCTCCACAGCACCTGTTAGAGTGTCCGCTACAAAACAGGATCCCCAAAAACATTTGCTAAGGTGAACCATTAGAAAACTTAAGGAGTCCCTCCAATTGCTTTTTTTTTTTTTTTAAGATTTTATTTATTTATTTGAGAGGGAGAGAGAGAGCAAGTGAGAGCGCAAGAGCAGGGGGAGGGAGGAGCAGACTCCCCACTGAGCAAGGAGCCCGACGCGGGGCGCGGGGCTCGATCCCAGGACGCTGGGATCATGACCTGAGCCGAAGGCAGTCGCTTAACCAACTGAGCCACCCAGGCGCCCCTCCAGTTACTTTTATATGGCTGTGAGTGCAGGGGTGTGTGTCTATGTGCTGAGTTCCCTTTGTCCAACTGTCAGAGTTGGCCCTTTCGCATTCTCCACAGCAGGCCTGCTTGAACAAATAAGTATTATTGCTTTGGGTATTCTTTACATCTCTATTAAGACCACCAAGACAGTCATTTGCATGATTTCAAATCATATTTATTGAGAACCTGCTTCCTACAAAGCTCTGTGCTGAATGTTGTGATCAAGACAGCACTCTCTTTCCAGAAACTCAGTCCCGTGGGAGTCCTAGGAGCTCAACCTTGAGGGTGGGATTCTGTGGGATGAAAGGCAAAATACGATTCTGACCCAAATCTGAGGGTGTTGACAAAATCAGTGGAGGGGAGAGATCACAGAGCTGAGCAGGGAGTGAGGCAAACACTCCTCACGGGGTGAGAGTACCCTTCCAAAGAAAATGACATTTCTTACTTTACAAACTGGAAAGCATTGGGGTTTTTTTGAGCATTATTTGCTCAGCTGAGGATGAACGAGTTAAAATTCTAAAATATTTGCTGCCATTTTTTTTATTGGCATTCTTTATTTAAACTAGAAGAACATTGTTAACAGCAAGGCTTACTGACATAAACAGATTTTGCCTGGAAATACTAACATGTATTTATGACTGTGGAGAAACAGGGAAATTTCAGGAGCTCCTGCTGATGAGACAGTTATTAATCAGCTTTATGAAGGCAGC